CGCCGACTGTGGGGACGAGTTTCCCTGTTCCTCCGAGCAGAGAACCAAAGCTTCCTCCTTTCAAATTTCGAGAGCATGACTAGCCCACGCCACGAAGACGTTGTTCTCGGCTCCGCCATATGAGTACACAACTATTAATTATAATATCTAAAAATTTATGAGCACAAAGTATCGCACCACATTAGAGCACACACATCAAATAACATGCATGGTGGTTATTACACCTCAAGAGATCAAATCAAACACCAAACATAAGCTCACTATACATTGTTAGATTTTATGAATAATCATTTACACAAAAAAGGACATAATGTTAGATTTAGATTTTCAATCAATCTTGCACAAGCCTCAAAAGTTTTGTTAGTTCAATCTTGAATGAATCAAACTTAGAGAATTTCTTAATTCAATTAATGATCAAACAACATTTTAGTAAGGAATTACTTGACATTTTATTCCATATTGATTATTAAATGATGAATAAATCATTATAAAATCAATGAAATAGGTTTGATTTCCACTTAGATGAGAAAACTTCCAAAAATAAACTTATTAGGATGGAAAATCATTTATATTCCTGAATTTTGAAGTCGCTTAGACTCGATTAAAAGAGCAACTCTAATGTCACTTGTTAGATGAAAATATTAATATGAAAAAAGGTCTAAAAGGAGGGGGATTGAATAGTTTGATCCCCTTTTAAAATAATTTCAAAAACTTTTTACATAAAATCAAAGTTTAATTGGCGGAAGCGAGAACAAAATAAGATGGAAGTTTATAATCTCATCAATATGAACTCTAACCAATATATTTCAATGGTGTCACTAAAAATATGATCCTTTCAAGGACATAAACAAAATAGCATAATTCAATTTGCGTGATCTAAGAAATTTATCATCACAAGATAGTCATTCTTTTTATCACAATTAACTTAAAGACAATTCAATAGATTTGATGCAACACAAATCTATGCTTACATAATAAACCTCTATAAGCATGATATAACCTAGATGAGATACAAACTATCATATGCTATAATATTTACACAACTAATGCATAAAATTAAAGAGAGATAAGAAAGAAAGAAAGAAAGAAAGAAAGAAAGTACCCGTAGATATATACTAGTTCAGTGATATCGTCCTCACAGACACCTACTCCAATCTTCAATGGTTTAAAACCATTGAGAGAATAACCACGTCTTCCACTATTTTCAAGAGTTAATGTACAAGTATTTTGATACAACAAATCAATGATTTAAAAATTAGATCGATTAACAAACTGGTGAGGGTATTAGATCACTAGTTCATTGGTCAAACTACTGGGTCATCGGTCGGATCACATGACTAAACCGGACAAAATCGGAAAACTCTGTTGAATAAACTTGTTGTTATAACAACACTATATAGGTATTAAATTGGTCGAATCAGATGACTCGGTCTCTGAATAAAGAGGAAATCTCATATGCTTACATAGCTCCCAACATATAAGCGTGACAACCTAACTTCTTTCATGTGCTTATTTTCAAAAATTAAGTATCAACTCTTAAATCAACACATCTCTCATATGCTTACATATCCTATTAGTTAATTATTAATGGTTGTACTTGTACATCTCTCATTTTTACATCAAAATGTAAAATAAAGCTAAACATATAAGTTATTGGTCATTTTCCCAAGCTCTTTAGAGAGCTTGTTGAAATAAGTTGAAAACTATTTTTGAGCATAGAGTCTCACAAAGTCTATGTAAGTCAATCCTCACAAGTCCAAATAAGTTAATCCAAATTTGACTCATTCAATAAACAGTAACTACTACCCAATATAGCATGACATCATTTATCGAATATGATACATGAATTAATAACTATAACTTCCTACTTTTTGAACTACATTGCCATTGACGTTGTTATTTACAGTTGAAAAAACTAGATCTAAGTCTAAAATCCAAATGAACATAATATGAAAGCAGAAAACAATAAGAAGAGAAAGAAAGTCAAGAATACCATATCCACGAGGAAGAGGGCCTCTTCCAACTACATTTTCCAACACATAGGATTTCCCTGAACTCTGATGGACATTCAACAAATGTATATTGAGCAACATGAAATGGATTTTAATGAAATAAGAAGATATAAGATAAGAGAAAGAGAGTAAGTAGTTTACTTGTTGACCGACAACGACGACTGGTGGATAAAAATCAAAATACGATTTCTATCATCACAACCCTCCCTATTCACAAACTAAAATCATGAGAGAAAAAAGGGAAAAGGAAACAAAACCTGAGAGGTAGTGAGTAGAGGTGCGGGAGCCGGAGAGGAAGAGTGTGATGGAGGAATGGCATACGCAAATGGTGGTAAAGAAACGTGTGTGATGAAGAAGGAAGTTTTTTAGTTTTTGATGGTAACTGAACTAAAGCACGGAAAAGGAAATATAAGCTTTCTTTCTATATTTTAATTTTAAATTTTTGAAAAATTAATAAAAAAGATGTCGTTTTGACTTTAAAAAAATATAGCATTTAAACCTCCGCTTTTTTGGTTTTTACCAATTTACACCGATTTTAACAGGTTCTCATTGGTTCAATAACGTAACAGATCCAACATTTGAACCATATTGGTTGCCTCTCCAGTTCCCGGTTCAATCGGTCCGACTGGCCGGTCTGGTTCGAGTTTTAAAACTATGCAACAAACTATCATCAATCTGAATACTAATTGCCACACTACGCTAAGCTACACACAAATAAAATGACAATTCTTTATGTTGATGTATATACTCAACTGCTACATACAAGATCCTCGATGATATCAATAATCTTGTTATCCACAATAACCTACTCCAACCTTCATTTCTACAAAATTCTTTCCTCGAATCTGATGAAGACTTGTCTGAGTGATTGCCATTATCCTTGAGTAATTGGATAACTCCCAACTTTGTTCTGCGACAACCTTCACAAGGTTTCACCAAAGGCTTCAATAGATTATAGAGAAACTCTTCTCTCTTCATGAATAACACACAATCAAAATTCATATCTAAGAAACGATTTTTTCACCTAATACACAAAAACATGTTGGGAAACAAGTGTGCGTTGTGTAGAGAAACAAATGTGAGTTTTAAGTTCCACATTGCTTTAAAAAGTGAAGGTTGAGCACTTTATAAGTAAGAGGACTTATACATCTATCACCTTAAGGTTTTGGGTGAATATGTAGTGTCTCTCTCACTTGTTTGGGTGAGTCTTTGACTTTTAGGTAAGTATTTGACCCAATGTGAATGTTTCCCCCTCATGATAACCCATCCAAACATAACTTCAAAGAAAAATATTAGATTCCTTAATGTACCTTTCGTCTACCTTTCACACTTAATCTTTAGAGTTTGAGATCCACAATAATGGTTCTTGATAAAAGTTAAATATGATGAACAGTATCTAAATAATTTCACACACACACACACACACACACACAAGATCCACATTCTAAAAGAATAATTATAAGGTTTCAACAAGGAAATAGGTGTGGGTGGATGAAGAACACACACTAGGTTCTCTCAAGGTTGGGTTTTTAGGTTCTTGATGAATGTTCAGGAATTGATCAATTCCTTCAACTGTTTGATCAACTTTCTCTCTCTCTCTCACACACACACACACACACACTCACTCACTCACACACACACACACACACACACACTCTCTCTCTCTCTCTCTCTCTCTCTCTCTCTCTCTCTCTATTTTTTATGTTCCATTACAAAAATATGCAATGATGTTACAAGAGATTGTGTTACCACATACTTTTTGGAGATTCACTAACTCGCTCTTGTGTTCATGGTCACACGCTCAAAGAAGAATAATAAACACAATAAAAAAGATAAGAGAAATTATGGATTAGAGAGTTATGACACTAAAAAACAATGAGTTTTTAAAATCAAATCATGAAGTAATGATTCTAATAAAAGAAACAACAACTTGAATAAAAGGTTGGAAAAAAAGAAGTAAGGCCATGATTTGAGTCATGTGTATCTCATGATTCGAGTCATAAAGAGTTGTGATACAAATCACACTACTCTTCTATGACTCGACACAAATGAGAGAGCCAATTTCCAACTTTCACAAGACTTTGTGATTCAAGTCACACTATGCATGATTCGAATAAAACAACTTTGCAGCTTTGATTCAAGCATTCTAATTTGTGATTCAAACAATACTTAACTCAATGATATAAGACACATTACTTGGCTAAAAAAAGGAGATATTATTATGGATTTAACTACTAAAACGATGAATGAAGAGGTTTTCAAAGATTAAAAAATAGTTATAGCCGAAGCAAACAAATACAAAAGATTCTAAATGAATTACAACAAGAATGCATATTTATATAATTGAAAAATACAAATAAACGATAAGTCAAATGATGCATATACACAAAAATTGACAAATCATCATAACTAAAATAATATAGATGACGACTACAATTTCAAAATTTAATTTGAATATACCTCAATGAGTGAATTCTCTTTTTTTATTGATTTTAAAGAAAAAATTAAATATTTTTAATTTATTTATTAAAAGAATACTCTATTAAAAACTCTTCTCCCTTCAAAATCTTTCTCTTTCCTCCTCTCTAAACTCATAAAAATAGGTTTAAAAAATATAATAATTTTATATTAATGATTTTTCAAGTTGAAAAATCAATTATAAAATTTTCATTTTAAAATTAATATATTCATCTTCTTATAAAATAAAATACTATATTATTTAATAATAAAAAAATTATTTTCACTTAAAAGTGATATACTTTATTGAATAGAAAACGCGTTATTTAAAATACGTGTTTTAGTAGTCATAGTTAGATTAAAGTTTAGAAAAAGAGACAGAGAAGCGTAGCAAGAGGGAAAGAAAAATCACTAATCGAATTTATTAACACTTCAACTTTCAAGTCTTTCTTCCTTCCCTCCTCCAATTCCATTTCCATCAAATACACCAAAGTCGTTCGTAACCGTAAACTCAGTCTTCACCAAACCAACATGTCAGACCAATTGCAGATACTTGACGGAACTAACCTCCGTCACCTCGATCTATCCACCGCCGTCTTCGATCGTCCGGTCACCGGAGCTCAAATTCTTCACATTGCACATTCGCGAGCTTCTCCTTCTCTCTTCGATCTTCCTTTACCCGATCCTCTCAAAGCCTCTGCACTCAATCGCCTCCGGAGTATCGCTGACGAACCTTTGTTTTCACCGGAGGCTGAGTATGAGCCTTTACAGGCTTCTCAAATTCTCAAACAATACATCGCCGCCATCGCCGATGAACTCAAAGGTTTATTATCTAGTATCTTTTTCTGCTCATTATGCATTATTAGGTTTATATAATATTTCTAGGTAAACCTCTATTATCGATCCGTAATTATTTCTGTCTGATTGATTTAATTATTTCGTTTATTGCATAAACGCGTTGATCGAATTTGGATTGAAATAACGTGTGGATGATTTGAGTTTGTGGACTTGATTTTGACTTTGGTAGGAATAAAAATTACTGTTAGTTATTCTCTTCTTTTGCATATAGAAACATCTTAAATTAGTGGAACTTTTGAATAAATATTCTGTTGAAATTTTTATATTGCGCAATTTGTGCTTTTACAATCAGAAAACTATTGAATAAACCATCAATTGAGTACCTAACTATCACTCTTTCTTCAATTTAGTCTTTAAAGTATATAATACTAGCATACGCCATCAAGCACATTTGAGGATACAAAATGATACGTCGACATCGGTAATAATTAAAAAAAAATGAATAATCTCAGAAAGAGTGGCTTCACTATGGTGTCTTGTTGCAGCTATTACACCAGTTCCTATGAAGACAGACACGTCGCATGTGTCGGTGTTGAAAAGCGGACACACCTTTGTTCAGAGATATCAGCGCTACAACAATCATAAGTAGTCCCTAAAGTATATAAAATTTGCAAATTTAGTCTGCTCTATTAAGATATAATGGGCTAAATTAACAGAATTTCATATTCTTTAGAACTAAATTGACGGATAGAGATTACGTTGGTGGTTGATTCAATAATTATTTCTTCAGTTTTGGAAAGAAGAGAAATATAGTGTTGCTTACATTAGATTTGTATTGATCTACAGGTAGTCCTCTTGTTGTATCAATCTTGGATGGAAGTACTCTTCGTTTGTTGTTTGAGGATGAGGATGATTTTGCCATGTTAGCAGAAAATCTGTTCACTGACTTGGATGTTGAAGATAAGGGGAAAATCAGTAAGAGTGAAATTCGAAATGCTCTTGTTCAGATGGGAGTTGACATGGGAGTTCCTCCATTCTCAGGTTCACTTTATTTTTCAGTTTGAAGATTTTGTTTTTGTCATTCTGGCTAGTTCTTGTTTCCAACTGAAACGGTAATAGATACCTTGTCATTGTTTTGCGTGATGTCGTGCAGTCTTGTTTATTAATCTCATTATTATTATTCATATTTTGTGTATATGATTCTCAATACTAAGATTTTAAGCAACACATTTCACTGATTCCTATTTCATTTTAATTCATATGTATTTTAGGCAATGTTCTCCTGTTCAGTGTGAAAGTTTGTTTAATCTTTAATTTGATGGATGTAATTTAGACATATCTGTTGGAAATTCCGCCTTCATTGCGGTCTGCCCCTAGTCGCCTAATTGTAGCATTTGGTTTGCTTTCATTATATCTGTTGTGAATATGATACCTTTAAACAAAGTATAAACGGTTTCTTAATGATCAAGAAACACACAAGGGTTAGGGTTAACAAAGAAAACAAGGTAAAACAACAAGGATTGGTTATTAAACTGCTATTCTTTCCTTTCTCTTAGAACAAGATTACAAGTATACAAGAATAACAAAATAACCTCTCTCCCTTGAAATTAGGATTTTATCTTCCTATTTTTCCTTATCTCAAAATTGAGAAACTAGCATCCTATTTATAATAAAATAGCACATGCTAACAACCTTAGCAATATTTACTCATGCTAACAACCTTAGCAATATTTACTCATGCTAACAACCTTAGCAATATTTACTCATGCTAACAACCTTAGTAATATTTACTCATGCTAACAACCTTAGCAATATTTACTCATGCATGTTAGAACAAACTTCGACTACAACACGCATTACTTGCGAACAGACTTCGACCACACTAGAGTTCGATCCAATGTCTCACAAATCTCCACCTTGGATCTAACTCTATAACATCAAGAAACTAGCTTTCTTCATGCAGATTTATTAACTGCATACAGTGGAAAAACTTGCAACTGGGCAATGTCTTGGTGATCATATCAGCAGCATTATGATCTGTCGAAACTTTCAGCACTTGGACTTCTCCACGCTCGATTACCCCTCTGATGAAATGCAGCCTCACATCAATGTGCTTGGTTCGCTCATGATAGGCTGAATTCTTCGACAGGTGTATTGCGTTTTGACTATCACATTTAACAGTGATAACTCGACCTTGAAGTTTTAGCTCCTTTGCAAAACCTTCAAGCCACAATGCTTCCTTCACAGCTTCAGTTAGGGCAATATACTCCGCTTCAGTGGTTGATAGGGCAACGACCTTCTGAAGTGTTTCTTTCCAACTGATTGTTGTCCCAAACATAGTGAACACATATCCAGAGATAGATTTTCTGGAATCCATACAACCTGCATAATCAGAGTCGACATATCCATCGATTGCTGCTTTACTATCTTCACCTAAGGCTCCACCATAAATTAGGACTCTATTTAGAGACCCATTTATGTACCTTAAAATCCACTTCAATGCTTGCCAGTGAGCCTTTCCAGGATTCGCCATGTACCTGCTTACAAGACTTACTGCATATGCTATGTCGGGTCTAGTACAGACCATAGCATACATCAAAGACCAATTTGTCTTCTTTTGATTCCTCATAACTTCCTTATAGTCTCTAGGTTCTTCGTCTAGAACCTCACTTGCAGAGATTAAGGCATAAGCTATAAGATCTGCATACCCAAGTCTCTGAGGTGGCTTGATGACTCTCCTCGACCTGTCTCTTGCTAGCAGGTAGTCATTATCAGTCTCCTCATCTTCGACAACATCTTCTGTGTCTTCTTCGACTTCATCTGGGGTAAGCAATTCAGCATCAACATGCTCCACCTCAACAGGAATCTCTCCCTGTTCCAGCTCTTTGTCAGCATCATCAGTTTTCTTGAAAGCCATCTCTGCTTCGTTGAAAACTACATCTCGACTGGTGATACACCTCCTGTGACCTGGCTCTAGGAACCATAGCCTATAAGCTTTGACTCCTTCAGGGTATCCCATGAACATGCACTTCAGAGCTCTAGGTTCGACCTTGTCTTGCCTAATATGAGCATAGGCCACACAACCAAATACTCTCAGTTTGTCGAGACTAGGTGGATGTCCTGACCAAACTTCTTCAGGTGTCTTCATTCCCAAGGCAGTCGAGGGACATCTATTTATCAGGTAAGCTGCTGTCGAAACAGCTTCCGCCCAAAACACCTTCTTCAATCCAGCACTAACCAACATGCATCTAACCCTTTCAAGGATTGTTCGATTGAATCTCTCAGCTAAGCCATTTTGTTGAGGAGTACCTGCTACAGTCTTATGCCTTGCAATCCCAGACCCAACACAGTAACTGTCGAAAGCTTCGTTGCAGAATTCAAGGCCATTGTCGGTTCTCAACCTCTTAACCTTTTTGCCAGTCTGAGTTTCGACTAGAATCTTCCAACTTTTGAAATTCTCAAAAGTTTCATCCTTCGTCTTCTGAATGAATACCCATAGTTTTCTGGAATAGTCATCAACAATGGATAGAAAATACCTTGCACCTGAGTGTGAAGGATTCCTTGCAGGCCCCCAAAGATCGGCATGAATGTAATCCAGAGATCCATGTGTTCTTTGCTTGCCTTTGTTAAACTTCGCCCTACAGGATTTACCAAATACACAAGATTCACAAAATTCCAACTTTTCGACTTTGTCACCTCCTAGCAGGTTCTGCTTCCCCAATTCGACCAGGCCTCTTTCGCTGACATGGCCCAATCTCATGTGCCATAATTCTGTCTTCGACATAGATTTCGTGGATGCAACATTTGTCGAACCACTTACAACCTCAGCCTCAAGGGTATACAAGCCTTGTTTCTTCACGCCTCTCAAGACTTCCTTCGACCCCTTCATGACTCTTAGGATACTTTTCTCTCCTTGAAAAACATATCCTTTTCTGTCGAATTCACCAAGAGAAATCAAATTTCTCTTCAAGTCAGGTACGTACCTGACTTTAGTCAATAACCTTATTGACTCATCATGGAGCTTGAATCTCACAGATCCAATACCTGCAATTTTGCAAGATTTGTTGTTTCCTAACAGCACAGATCCACCATCTTGATCACATAGCTCCTCGAACAATTCTCTGTTTGGAGTCATGTGCCAAGTGCAACCTGAATCCATATTCCACTCTTTCCTCGAGTCGCCACTTGAAACCACAAGAACATCAGATGAGTCGAAGTCATCTTGAACAATGGCTGCATTGCCATTACCTCCATGATCTTTCAGGCGTTCAGGGCACAACTTTCTTATGTGACCCTCCTTCTTACAGTGGTAACATCGAATACTAGATGTTTCGCCACTATAAGACTTCTGTTGACTTTTACCTTTCTTCTTGTCGAACTTACCATCCTTTCGCAAGAATTTTCCCTTAACGGCCAAACCTTCGCCCACCGTCGAAGGTTTATGCTCCTTTCGTTCGTTCAAGTCCTTAGAATACAAGGCTGATTGAACTTCTTCAAAGGTCAAGGACTCCCTTCCATACAAGAGAGTTTCTTTGAAGTGAGCATGTGTTCTGGGCAAAGCACACAGCAGCAACAGTGCTTGATCTTCATCATCGATCTTCACATCAATATTTTCAAGATCAAGAATCAGCTTGTTGAACATATCCAACTGCTCAGCCAACACTTTGTCTTCACTCATCTTGAATGAATATAAAGCTTGCTTCAGGTATAGTCGATTCACCAGAGATTTGGTCATGTACAAACTTTCAAGTTTCACCCATAATCCCGATGCTGTAGTCTCCTTTGATACCTGTCGAAGAACCTTATCACCAAGGCTCAATAATATTGCACTGTGGGCTTTCTCGATCATGCCCGTCTTTTCTTTTGCCGTTAACGCAGCGTCCATGGCTGCCTCACCCTTCAACGCTTCCAAACAACCCTGCTGAACCAATAGGGCTTTCATCTTCAAGCGCCACAGACCAAAGTCGTTCACTCCGGTGAACTTTTCAATCTCATACTTTGTTGAAGACATCTTTTCCACGCTCACCGCACCAATTTGTTGTGAATCGGATACCTTTAAACAAAGTATAAACGGTTTCTTAATGATCAAGAAACACACAAGGGTTAGGGTTAACAAAGAAAACAAGGTAAAACAACAAGGATTGGTTATTAAACTGCTATTCTTTCCTTTCTCTTAGAACAAGATTACAAGTATACAAGAATAACAAAATAACCTCTCTCCCTTGAAATTAGGATTTTATCTTCCTATTTTTCCTTATCTCAAAATTGAGAAACTAGCATCCTATTTATAATAAAATAGCACATGCTAACAACCTTAGCAATATTTACTCATGCTAACAACCTTAGCAATATTTACTCATGCTAACAACCTTAGCAATATTTACTCATGCTAACAACCTTAGTAATATTTACTCATGCTAACAACCTTAGCAATATTTACTCATGCATGTTAGAACAAACTTCGACTACAACACGCATTACTTGCGAACAGACTTCGACCACACTAGAGTTCGATCCAATGTCTCACAATATCCCCCGACACCTACATTGTGTTGGGTTTGAAGGGGTAGATTTAATCTCACATTGATTAGAGATATGACTTGTGTTGTGTTTATAAGCGGAGGAAATCTTCAGATTACAAGTTGGTTTTGTAGGGATGAGTTAGACTCTTCCTAAATTTTAAGAATATCTTTAATCTAAGATATGATTTATTTTGTTCATAGAATTTTTCTTGTCATGAACAATAGGTTTCTGCTCTACCTTCACTCTTTCCTTTAGAAAACTAAGGTTCTGTTTGGCATGACGATTTTTGAGCTTATAGCTTATAAGTCACATGATAATAAAAGACCTGTTTGGTAACAATTTTTTCATCTCAAGCTTATCGCTTATTTTACTAGCTTATAGTTTATTTTCTAAATGCTATTTTAAATAGCGTTTTAGCTTATATCTTATAGCTTATCATTTTTTCTTCCATTTTTGTCCTTATTATTTTAACTAAAATCCACTACTACCCTTTATAATTTATTTTAATTTAAATAAATCAATTATATATTAAATGTCTTTTATGTCATTTTAATTTATCAACTAATTGAACCACTAATTTTACCAAACACTTTAATTAGTTTATCAGCTATAAGTCATCAATTATAAGTCATCAGCCATCAGTCCTAAGCTATAAGCTTTCAGATAGCTTATCAACCAACCGCTATTTTTACCAAACAGAGTCTAAAAGAATAATTCCTGAGAAAGCTAATTAAAATAATGTTAGATCGTATGATGATGACTTGCAAGTAGTGATTGTTTTGATTTGCTATTTCATTCCCATGACATCATGGATAAGGCAACTGCCAAATTGTAACTAAGACACCAAAAAATGGGTTGATTCTTTGAATTGCCTTTAGATATTTATAATTGAGAGCCAGCTTCTGCCTGTTTTGCACTCAAAATTAATGAGACTTATATATCCTCATAAGCTTTATGTTATGGGAAATATAGGTGTAACTTTATGTGTTTGTACTGGTTGTCCATCATATGTGTTAATGTCTTATTTTCCATTGTCGATGTTGCAGTTGGTTTGATTGATTAACAGTGGAAATGCACAAATTAATATCTGTACAAATTAATATCCACTCCATGTATTATGATAGTAGGATATCTTTAATTTGTCATTGATATGCATATCAATTATCTTGGTCAGATAAAACTGACTTTTTAAACATAAATAAGCAGAATATTCTCAGCTAAATGACTTATTGAGTAAACATGGAGCGGATGGAGAAGAAGAACTGGGCCAGGCACAATTTGCACAGCTTCTGCAGTTTGTATTACAAGATCTTGAGATGGAACTTTCCAAAAAGAATTTTGTTTTCATCCAGAATATCCAAATCATAAATGGCTCTAAGATAAGACAGGTATTTTCATAGATTATTTTAAAAATATTATGTTTCAAACTTTCAATCTTGTGTAGTTTTTATATATCTATACCATAGCATCTACGTTTTGCTAATCACAAATGCCGGTTATCTTTTTTGTTATGGATAAAAATATACATATTCATAATTGAAATACAGAAAAGGCTAAAACACCAATCAAACTCTGTACCTGTTCCCACTTCCAGTCAATTGTTCGAGTCTATGAGGCAATTTTAGAAGTTAATAAAATAACCTAAATTTATCAATTGTGATTTCTGTGATATCTTGAGCTCTTCAGTTGAGCCAAGTTCCAAGTCTTATTAATCACTTATGTTGTGGACAATATTGCAGCTATTGGCCAATGAAAAGGAGTTAAACAGCTTCATAGAGAAGGCATTACAAGAAAAACTCAATGCAAAGGATGGTTTAGGAAGCACGGAATTAATAAGGAGCTTCCTTGAGAAAAACACTAAGGAGTTGGGTTTACCACTATATGATGGTGGCGATGCAGCTGATCTTTTTTATGATGGTGTTTTTGCTGATGTAGCCAAAGAAAAAGGTGCAGTGGAATTAGAGAAACAAGAGCCAGCAAAACTTTTGAAAGATATCTTAGAGAAAATGGCAGAGCAACTTGAGTTGAATCCAGTATATCAGGACTTTGCTTGAGGTTGATGATGAATTAGTGGACTATATTTCATATGTTTGTAACTTTGTATCATTACAGGGCATGTGGGTCTCACCCAGTGGTGTGTATATTGTATAATGAATTTACTTATACATGTGGGTCATATAATTTGGGACCGTGGGAGTATAATATGAATTGCTACTAGTAATGTCATCCAGCATGATGAGCAAGTGTTCAAACATTCCTTCTATCAAATGCTATTGAATGACTGCATGATATGAATTAGATTCTCTCTGTTTCTTCTGTCCATTACTAATAAATTTTGGGGTGATGTGAGGAGTATTGAAGCTATTTAGACCTGACATAGTAGATCAAGATTTTGTTGTGGGTATAAACTTCAAAATGACTTCTGAAAACCATTTAAATCTAGCACAAGTGGTTGGTGTGCACTACTTAAATGTTAAAAATGGCAGAAAAAGAACTGAGATTCATAGTTGACCCGCGTATTAAATAAAGTTTGAAGTGAAGAGAAATGTTTTATGAAATGATTTACTAATCAGAGAAGACATTAAGATTTTAAAGTTAAGATAATACATTAGATGAATGATAATCAAAGAAGACCCAGAAATATAATATATGAATATATGATACATCCGTTAGGGGTGTTCATGAGTACGGACCAACTGTGAATCCTTGCACTCAACTCAACCTTTATTTTTATCTAACTCAATTATGTACAAGTTCAACTCGAACCAACCCATTCAAATTCATTAGTATTTGGTTTGGGCAACGGATTTGAAGTTTTAAATCCACAAATCCGTGAATCTAACTCATTGATATGTCACACTATTTTTATTTTATTGTATCTATAAATTATGTAGTATAGTTGTTACCATACATATACTTTTTTTAATATAATTATAGTTTTTATTAATTGTAAAAGTCGAAGTCTAAGTCAAATATGAGAGATTAACTATATTTATTTAAAGAGAGATATACCTTACCTTTTAAATTATACTTTACATTATTTGTATATTTTTTTAAATTTTATATAAATCGTAGAATAGTTTTTAGGTATTAACCAAAAAAATTTATTCAAATTGAATACTAAAAATTTATGATTTTTTTAAATGTTTTTGTAATATAAATGTGTTAATTAAATCGATATATTTTATTTAGAATTTGAAAAATATATTTAATGGAAAATCCACGAATCCAACTCAACTCATTAATTAGCAGATTGATTTAGTTCGGGTTTAATTTTAAAAGTACATGTTTAACACTCAACACAACCTAAAAAATAGTGATCTGATCAAGTATTGAATTTAATCTAATTACACCAAACCAAATCCAACTTGCCAAGACCCCTAATTACACCAAACCAAATCCAACTTGCCAAGACCCCTAAAAAGTATCACATCATTTGATTCATGTAGCTTCCTTGCTTAGTAAAATATGGTTTGATTGTTGATAAAACTTAAGAATGATTTATAAGGAAGCACCAAAATCTAGTACAAGTAGCTGATATTAACATCTAAGTGTTGCAAATTTTCGAATATCAGAGTTTGATTCCTTAACATTATTAAATGATGAATTTGATAATGAAATGTTATGAAGTTGAGATAAGTTACAAACATTTTTTTTTTTTCGTAATTTTTTATAATGTTTTGATGTAAAAAAGTTATTCATACTTATAAGCTAACTACTTAAACTTTTTTTATATGAAATTGAGCTAGATAGATTAGAGCTGCAACATTTCTTTATATTTTCTTCGTAAGTAAATAAGTTGTTGATTCTTTAAATTAAGGACTTAAAAAAAAAGTTTTATGACCTTATACTAAATTTGTTGCTCACTTCACTTTGGTTTCAAAAACTAGCAAATGATGTCATATGTGATATAATTTTTTTATGCTAATAACCATCATTTCTACTTAATCAACTTTCAAATAAAAAATATTAAAACGAATAGATGATGTCAATCTAATTGATAACTACATAAATTTCATAAAAGATGTCGCAAATTGAATTGATGACAGTTTACAAGATCACCTCTTATTTTTCAAATAGAGGTGCCAATTTAATTGACAATTCAGTTGTCAATTGAATTGGCGTACCGTTTGTTGCAATTTTTTATATTTGAAACTAGATTACTTTAGAAAATAGATGGAAATGATGATTGAAAAGTAGTATTATTTACCTAAAATTTTCGTCACATGCACTAGGGAACAACTTTTATGAACCCCACGTTTATAAATTAATCAGGCCTCGTGTCTCCATCCATGGTGCAATTTCCTCCCTACTTTATTATGCTTTAGTCTTTTAGCCTTATTTGTGCCCCCATGATGACAGGGCCACGTTGTTCACTCTCACATCCAACCACAAGTTCCAAAAACATGGACCACTTTTGTTCACGCCATGCAATTCACATGTTTGGAGTTTTGTTAAAAAAACAAAGACAACAACACATCAGTTATCAGAAAACAACAAAATCCATTGATTGGCCTTTGGTTATTATGAACTTTCCTGCATCAGTCATGGTCCCTACTCATTTGATTTCAATACTTGGTCCAAAATGAAACAAAACAACTCTGCTAAGTTTCAATCATTCATACTTCAAAAACACAATAATAAAACACAATAACCGCATTACAGCTTCCGAAATTAAACTTAATATAACTTATTAACTAAAACCAAACATCTCTTCAAATTAGCAACATAAACCTAGTCCCTCCCTTGAAACATTTATTTGAAAAAACCAACAACTGCGCTTTCGTTACTTCACTCGTTGCCATCTGCAGCCCGAAGCGAGCCTAGTTGAACAGGAGCTTGAGTTTGGACCACTTTGGATGATCCGTAGGATGCTAAATCAACACCTCCGGCTTTCTCTTTCTCGAGCTGCTCCTTGATCCAGAAGTATGTAATTCTCAGCCCGTCCTGTTAATTGAGACCGATGAAGCAAACAATGTATACAACACGGAGTAAACACAACGGTGTTTCCATAAAGGAGTCACTCGGTTAATATTAACATTAATACCTTCAATTTCATTGTTGGAGCCCAGCCAAGTTTCTCTTTGATAAGAGTATTGTCTGAGTTGCGGCCACGGACACCCTCTGGACCAGGAATGTGCTGGATTGGTATGCTTTTGTTCTCAAAGCTAAGAACAATCTCAGCCATCTCGTTCATGCTAACCATTTCGTCACTTCCAATATTCACTGGTTCGCGGAAGTCTGATTTAGTCAATCTAAAAGGAAAAGCGGACAAAAGAACACAAATCTAAGTTTTACTGACGAATGAACCGAAATCGGTGATTTAAATTTCAAATTGCTGCAACAGCCACAAGATCAGCACGATCATACCTTAGCACGCCTTCAACACACTCGTCGATAAAGGTGAAGGACCGTGTCTGCAATCCATCTCCCCACATCTCAAACTTATCTGTGGAAGTAAGTGTCTTCCGACAAAAAGCAGCAGGAGCCTTCTCCCGTCCACCTATACACGACGAACATTAAAACAACTGTTAATTCGTTGATTTGTATAAGATACTATGCAAAATTTGCGATTCAGTTAGGAGCATACCTTTCCATGTTCCGAAAGGGCCATATATGTTATGGAACCGCCCAATGCGGCACTCAATTCCAAAATCTTTGTTATAATGCTTGCATAACTCTTCTGTTGCAAGCTTCTCCAATCCATACGCATCTTGTGGCTAGAAAAAGTCATAACATTAAAAACTCTAATGAATGACAGCATAACCGAAAGGAACAACATAAGAGACCAAAAACAAACCTCAGCAGGCCATGCGTCAGCCTCCTTCAAGCTCACATTTGTTTCCAACTGCTTAAACTCAGGATAGATACAAGCACTAGAGGCATAAAAAAACCTACACAAAATAAATAAGCGACACAAATAAGTATTTGAATCCAAAACCTATAAAACAGTCACACTGAACACCAAACACGATACTGACACGGACACTAACAGACACATAATCACATGTGTTATGTCAGTCAGATTTTGATTAGAGATATTGGTGCTACGGAGTCTATAAGAAAAAGATAAAATAAGATAAACTCAAATAAGTCAAATCAAAGAGCTCTAAATCTGAGATAAAACTAACCTCTTAATACCATTAATCCTACCGGCCTCAATCATATTGAAGCTAATCATTGTATTGTTATACATGATGACAGAGTGATTGGACTGAATAAAACCCATTCCACCCATATCAGCAGCAAGATTGAAAACATGATCAACACCCTCAGTAACTTTGAGGCAATTATCCATAACCCTAAGATCAACAAGATGAAACTCATGGCAGAACATGTCTTCAGTCATGTGCTCATTCTTCTTCCAATCAGAAGCAATGATGTAATGACCTTCCGTCTTAAGGCGGCGAGCAATGTGCGAGGCGATGAAACCACCGGCACCGGTGATGGAAATCCTTAGCTTTTCTGATGGCCAATAAGGCTCTCTCTCAAGGTTTTGGTAGGTGTATGCACCATACTCGTTTGTTCCAGAGCTTCCCATTCTGAAAAAGTGAAAACCACATGAATCAGTCATTCAGAGAAACACAAAATTGATAAGAATTGAACATAAAACATCAGCACAAACATTAAAAAAAACAGTTTTTTTAAAGAAGAATCAGACAGAGAAACAGGGAACAAGAAGGTGAACCGACACAACATACCCCCACGAGGTCACATGATATTATGTGATAATATTAATAATGCATTATTAATTGAAAATTAAAGAAATAAATAAATAAAAGAAAGAAGAATCGGAACCTTATATTGAAGAGAGAGTGAAATGAAAGAATGAAGAATTGAAGAATGGTTAGACGGTTATATATAGATATAGATAATGATATAGATACAATGGCCACTCAATTATCACTTGTGCATTATTGGATCTTTTTCAACCACGTTTTTTTTTTCTTTCATGTTTAATCCATAATCTAAATTTATATTGTCTAATGACCAAATTTTCTTTTAAATAAAAATAAATGAGATATTATGGATTTCGCAATCCTACAATTAAATATTCTGTATAATTAATAATTGAATTATTTCATCTTTATTTTAAATTTTGTGTGAGAGGATTTCTTTTTTTCAAAATCTCACCAATACAACAAAAATGTAAAACAATTATATCTATATTACGAGAATCAACACAACACAATACAACCCTGAGGAAATGCTTTTCGTTGCTGTCCATAATGTATTTGTGAAAATTCTTCAATTATACATTTTTTGTATTGAGTAGTGGATAGGCACAATTTTGTATTGTTGATTTCTACTCAAATTGAATGTTTATATTATTTATTTCGATGGTTTCATATCAATTTCAATTAATTCATTTCGGGGGTTCCATCATTCTTTCTTAAAATAGAAATAAAAAAGAAATTCTAAAAGCACCAATCTCATAAAAACTCAAGTAGCATGTATCTTGAGAGTAGCTTTTCAAAGGTAGTTTGAGCATTCATCACTTATTTTCAAAGTGTTGGTACACAAGGTGAAGAAGATGAAAATGAAAGAAGAGAATAACAAACTTCTAATACTCTTGCAAAACGGTTGCAAAATGGTTATTTAACTACACAAACTAATGCGCACTACCTAGTGCTCTGTGTGTGTACTACTATTGATAGCTACACTAGTATGTATACACAAATAAATGTACCACGTAGGCAAAAAAGCTAAAATATTGAATTACCCTTCAAAATCATCCCTTAATTTAGGATTTAACTAATAAAAATTAACAACACTAATTCCACCCCTTAAGTGGGGAAATTGACCAATCTTGATCTCATTCATCAGAACATCTGTCAGCTACTTCTGGGAGCTACAGTGCATAACTTCTAGCACTCTATTATGGACTTGACTTCTTAGACAATGATACTTCGTTTCATTATGCTTGCTTCTCTCATGTAGCACTGGGTTATTACGAACTTGTTATCAATCATCAATTTCAGAGGCTTATTTACCTTAATCTTCAGATCCTACAGTAAATTCAGAAGTCAAACAGTTTGACATGCAACCACAACACCTGCAATGTATTCAGCTTCACAGGTTGACAAAACAACAATCGTTTACTTCTTGGAACACCAAGAAATAAGACCTCCCATATACTTACACAAATATCTAGAAGTACTTTTTCTTTCAACTCTGTCTCCACATCAATCAGAGTCTGAGTAACACATCAACTATGAATTAGCCTTTCTTCCATAAGGGAACAAAACTCCATACTTCAGAGTCCCTTTTATATACCTCAAAATCCTAACAACAACTTGGTAATGAGACCACTTTAGTTATTCATAAACCTACTCACCATTCCAACTGCATAGTAAATATCAGGTGTGGTATTACATAAATACCTCAGAGAGTCAACCAAATGCTTGAAAGTTGTAGCATTTACATCATCACCCTCATGATCATAATCTAATTTGTGATTTATTTTTGAAGGTGTGACAACAGTCTTACAATTCAACATCTCGAATTTCTTCAGAAGCTCAAGTTCATACTTCAGTTGAAGCAAAATGATATCCTTCTCAGAGTACATAAACAACATCCCTAAAAAATATGTCATATTTTCTAGATTAGTCATCTCAAACTCATTCATCAATACCTTCTTGAACTTAGTTATCTCATGTTCACAACTTTCTATTAGCAATACGTCGTCAACATAGAGACACATCAGAATCATATTGCCTTCAGAAGTATGTTGAACATAAAAACGCCATACTCCATCTCACACTTTCTGAATCCTTGGAGTTTGAAAAATGAATCAATTTTCAAATTCCAAGCTCTAGGAGCTTGTTTTAGTTTATACAATGCCTTTTGTAACTTGTACATCATCCCTTCCTTATTCTTTTTCACAAGTCTAGGAGGTTGTGACACGTATACCTCTTCTTGCAAAGGACCATTCAGAAATGCATATTTCACATCTAAATGCATCAAAGGTCAATTCTTGTTAATAATTATCGCAATCACCAGTCTAGTTGTCTCATGTCTTGCTACAAGCGCAAACACTTCAAAGTAATCTAACCTAGGTTTCTGTAAAAATCCTCTTGCTACTAACCTTACTTTGTGTTTTCCAATTGATCCATATGACTTTAGTTTCACCTTAAAAACATATCTAACACTGATGGTTTTCTTGTCCTTTAGAAGCCCAGTCAACTTCCAAGCCTTGTTTCTTTCTATAACCTCAAGTTATTCTTTCATAACCTTCATCCATACTTTCTTGTTGAGCGATTCTTCAATACTAACTGATTCAGAGTCTACTAATATGGCACACTGAATGACTCCCCTTTCAAAGTCTACTTCAGTATCTTGCAGCATGTCAAACTCTGCAAATCATCTTGGTATGTTTCTGATTCTTTGTGGCCTCTGAACTTGTTCAAAATTGTCTTCGAGTTCTGGAACACTATCATATACTAGAACCCCAGAAGTACCACCTTCAAAGGCACGACCACCGTCAGAGTCTAGAATATTTCCATATTCTGGATCACCATCAGAATCTGGATCAGAATCATATTCACCTTCAGAGTCTTCTTCAGCTTCAGAGCTACCTTCATACTCTGGCTCATCTTCAGACCCACCTTCAGAATCATCTTCTAATTCTTACTCATCTTTAAAACCTTCATATTATGATGTATCTTCAGAATTTAACTCAGGTGTTAACACTGCACCAGAGTTGGATTGAGATTCACTCTAATATCACGCTTCTGATTCTTTCATAACGAAATCTCTGCTGAATTCAATCTTATTAGTGACAAGACAATAGAGCTTATAAGCACCAGTGTTGGAGTACTCTACAAGCCACATATCTATGCTTCTGTCATCCAACTTCCTTCTCTTAGCATCTGGAATATGTTTGTAACACACAAAATCAAACACCTTCATATGGTTCACACTTTGCTTATCTCTCGTCCACTTCTCTAAAGGAACAATTTCCTTCAGCTTCTTGGTTGGACACCTATTGAGCACATACGTTGTCCTGGCAACAGCTTCTCCCCACAAAGTGTGAAGAAGCTTCTTCTCCTTTAGCATGCTCCTCGTCATATCAAGCAAAGTTCATTTTCTTCTCTCAGCAAGACCATTGTGTCGAGAAGTGTATGGAGCAGTCACCTCATGCTTAATTCAATTCTTCTCATAGAAATTTATGAACTCGGTAGATTTATACTCACCTCCACCATCAGTTCTGATAATCTTCATAATATGACTACTCTGATTCTCAGCCTTGATTCTGAATTTCTTAAATTCAGCAAACACCTCGTGTTTGAACTTTATGAGGGATACCCAAATCATTATTGTGAACTCATCTATAAATGACACGAAGTGTTTATTCCCTCCAAGTGAAGGTACAGGAAATGGTCCACACACATCAGAATGCACCACATTCAAAGCATGCTTTACTCTTGGAGGCATTTCATATGCAAATGGCAAACTTGGTTGCTTCCCTCTCATGCACACATTGCATAAATTCTCTGTCTTCTTAATTGCACGAATTCCATGTACCAACTTCTTCTAATTCAGATGCAATAAGCTTATGAAGTTCAAATGACCAAATCTTTTGTGCCACAACTCACTTTCCTTCACAACACTTATTGCACTAAGGCATTCAAAGTATGCAGTTTTAACATTCACTTTGAATGTTCTATTCTTTCCCTGTTCTGACTTCATAATCAACTTTTGATTACAGTCATACAACTTCAAAAGATTGTCCTTCATGGTATCTGAAAAACCTTTCTCAATTAATTTGCATACGCTCATCAGATTGCTTTTCATGCCAGACACATACCACACATTCTGAATTAGTGTTGTTTCACCATTATTTAAAACTACTATGACATTTCCCATACCTTCAACGTCGAGGTATTTATCATCTGCACATTTGATCTTTGTCCTCTTTATAGATTCAAAATCGACCAGTCATTTCTTATTTACAGTATGGTGATTTGAGCAGCAAATGTCCATATACCACCAGTATGTCAAATATGCATCATTCGATTCAAAAGCCATCAATAACATAGATTCATCATCAAAATCTCTTTTGGCTACATTTGCTTCTTCTGACTTCCTTTCCTTGTTTGACCAACAATAAACAGCAAAGTGGCCAAACTTACAATATTAGCATTGAACCTTTCTCTTGTCATTCTTCTCCTTCCCCTTCTGAGCACTCTTCTGCCTTCCAAAAGTTGAGTTTTTAAACTTCAGAACACCATTAGATCTCTTCCTGGCTTCTGACCAAGACTGATTCTGACATTTCTTTCCAGAAGCTGCTTTCAGAGCCTATTGTTCTACCTATCTTTAGAGTTTCTCTCTGTCATACGCAATTCTTGTGCATCTAGACTGCTTTTCAACTCTTCAATTTTCATGGTGCTAAAATCCTTAGAATTTTCAATTGCTACCACAATGTAATCCAACTAGGAGTAAGAGATCTAAGTACCTTCTTAATGATCTTTTCTTTGTTGAGAGTTTCACCACACGACGTTATCTCATTTGTAATCAGAATCACTCTAGAGATGTAGT